ATGTTTTAATCGAGAAAAGATTGCACATTAAAAAGAATGCTTGTGTATCGGGTATTGCTACTCACGCACACAGAAGACATACGAATAGATTATCATAAAAAACATGGAGAAAGTAGTACCTCTTGACGTAAATACAATAGCGTATCATGACAGTATATAATTGAATCGTACGCTCACGCAACGTGACCGAAATATTTAACTCTTCTTGCACTCGATGCATCATGTTGTCAAAATACTGTTTGACCATTGACAGATGTGTAAATATAACCACGGAGAAACCTACGTCATCTGCGACACCTATAGCTGCTGTAAACAGAACATGGTGTGCGGTTCACGGGGTATGTTGTTATTAATAGTTCTTCTGCTGTTCTAGGTCCACTTTGTTGTTAATTGTAGTGGAATGGTCAATCAAAGACACAAACAGAGAGAGAGAGAGAAAGAGAGAGAGAGAGAGAGAGTTAAAAAAGAGGGGTGTGGGTGAGTGAGTTTAGTTTTACGCCGCTTTTGGCAATATTCCAGCAATATCACGGCAGGGGGTTTACCAGAAATGGGGTACACACATTGTGTACTTCGGCGTGACGAGTGAACGCTTTAACCACTAGGCTATAGCTACCCACCGCCCCGAAAAAAGGGGAAGGTGTTATGTACATAATATGAACTGTTTGAGAGGCGTTCTAGAAGCTTTATGGATGATCAACCTCAATTGTACTATAGCGACGTTTGGGTACAGATACTTATACCGTTTTCAAGCAACTCAAGCACAGACAAACAGGCCATCACAGCTCACCCATAAAGACTTGTCATTCATAGATCATAATATGGTTGTTAAATCTCATACTTCTCCAGGACACATACGTCTCCATTGAATAATCATCCGTATTGGTTTCATTTAAACTTGGTTGGAGTGCACGCTAGTCCATTGACCTTGGTAATAACGTTAACGCTTTGAGTATACACCTTTTTGTATATGGAAGTTATATACTTATAGTTGTATACTAAGTACACCACACATAGGTGTACACTTTCTTTTGGTCTGCAGTTTCTGGGCCACCCAAACTGCTGACTGACTGAGTTTAGTTTTACGCCGCTTTTAGCAATATTCCAGCAATATCACGGCGGGGGACACCAGAACCGGGCTTTACTCATTGTGCCCATGTGGGGAATCGAACCGGGGTCTTCGGCGTGACGAGCCAACGTTTAATCACTAGGCTACCCCACCGCCCCCACCAAAACTAATGATCGAACAATGACATCCTACATTTGTGTATGAACCTCCTGCACTGACGTCCCAGAACATCCGCCTCCTACTAGGTACAGTTATCAGCAACGTCCAGCACAGCTGAAGACACTCTGATGGTTTCCGTCACTTAATCAAACAACCTCTATCTGTGTTCACGTACGATTATACAACCCTGGGGGATCGCGATGAACCCCGTGGAGCAAGGTGTAACCCAATCTAGCTCTATTTGACCAAAGTTGGCACCCTTCAGCTGATTTACGTCAGTATCGACTGACCAAAGCTCAGCCTGGTTTCCTGGGTCTGTTGCGCCTGCGCTACGCTCAGTGTCGGAGCGTAGCGCAGGCGCAACAGACCCAGGGAACCAGGCTGACCAAAGCTCAAGCATGCCACCATACACCCTTTGATACTGTACTCTGGTTAGAATCCGAGACAGTTGGGTATGCTAGTGGTTAAAGCGCCCCTCGTCAAAGACCCATGTTCGATTTCCTAGATGGGTACAATGTGTGAAGTCTATTGCTGGTGTCCCCCGCCGTGATATTGCTGGGATATTGCTAAAAGCGGCGTAAAACTAAACTCCCTCACTGGTTAGGATCCTATTCGTCACCGTTCAAGCTAATTAGTTTATTCAATCACAATAAAAGCATTATATTAAATGTGATTAACTAGTCATCATCAAAACCTTCATAATCTTTATTACGTATGAAGGCCACATACCCATATACAAAGTAACATTACCAATATACATATTCCATATAGGTAATATGAAGGCGTGAATGATAACAGAAACAAACTGTATAGTATATATCTGTACGTGACTGTTTTTGTACCAGATCCAAGGTTACGTTCCATTCGTTGTACTTCGTGGACTGCCTTAATAGATATATGCTTAATGAACTAAGAAATGCAGAAATGAAATCAGCTGATCCAGTTTAAACAAATGTTTTTAATCAAACGCAAGATGTTTTCAATCTATTTTGACCATGCAGTCGTGAGCTATGTTAGTTGTCCACCACGGGGCATTAAATAGTACGGATATAATACAGTCGTGAGGTATTTTAGTTGTCAGTCACGCTGCATTAAATAGTACGAATTTAATATAGTCGTTAGTTATTTTAGTTCTCCACCACGCTGCATTAAGCCTTAATTAAGAGAGTCGTGAGTGATGTTAGTTGTCATCATTATAGACAGTAACTCTTGCTCTGGAAAAAGTGAGTGAGTTGTCTTTATCGCCGCTTGGAAAGTATATCTGTTATATCATGGCGAGTGAGTGAGTGAGTTGTCTTTATCGCCGCTTGGAAAATATATCTGTTATATCATGGCGAGTGAGTGAGTGAGTTGTCTTTATCGCCGCTTGGAAAGTATATCTGTTATATCATGGCGAGTGAGTGAGTGAGTTGTCCTTATCGCCGCTTGGAAAGTATATCTGTTATATCATGGCGAGTGAGTGAGTGAGATGTCTTTATCGCCGCTTGGAAAGTACATCTGTTATATCATGGCGAGTGAGTGAGTGAGTTGAGTTTTACGCGGTTTTTAGCAATATTCAAGCAATATCACATCGGGGGACACCAGAAATGGGCTTCACAAATTGTACCCATCTGGGGAATCGAACCCGGATCTTCGGCGTGACGAGCGAACACTTTAACCACTAGGCTACCCCGAGGCCAATGTGATGCAAGCCGTAGTTTGGGTGAAATCTAGGTGTAACAGTATGGTTCTGAGAAATGGAGGTTCAGAATCAGACCGATTCTTGATTCGAACACACAATAAGCGGAACCATGCCTGGCCCTACCCATTGAGGGCGTTTAGTTTTTACGCCGCACTCCAATATTCCAGCTATATGTCAGCTCTACCCAGCTGGACGTGATTGTCCTCTACGTAAGAACTGCAGGTGTTTATCATCTCCTAAAATAAATATAACGACAAAATACATGTTTTCATACACAAATAACTTTATTTCTTTCATCGATCAGCGTACACTTCTGAGTGATGTGAAGCACTGACTTCACACTGGCATTTCCAGAACACGTATCCGTGAAGACAGCACATTGTTTATACTCACGTAGCGTATTGGTATGTGAATCACAACATTGATTACGTCAAGGAAGGTGACAGACGTAACGGTGACACTTCACGTAACATCTACCTGATGGCAAAGAGACACTACGCTGCATGGTCAGTTGTCCATTGGTAATATATGTCTGAATGCATAACGGGGACAGTTCCATTTACTGTAGGATTGGTAAACGTCAATGACTGAGTGAGGTTTTACGCCGCTTTTAGAATTATTCCTGCCACATCACGGCAGGGGTCACCAGAAATGAGCTTCACACATTTTACACGGAGGAATCGAAACCGGATCTTCGGTGTTACGAGCTAACGCTTTAACCATTAGGCTACCCCGCCGTCCCTAATTGAATTTGGGTTTTATAGTGATAGTTTAAAAGTGTCATTTAGAAGTAGTATTTTGAGTCATGACAAGTTAAGCAGGATTTCAACTTCCTTCTCCTTTCAGTATCTGTTCCTTTCAGTTATGGTATAAAAATTGCTTGTAAATTACTTTTACCAATCAAGGTGAATGAGCTTACTTGATACTGGTACCAGCACCTGTGCCAAAACCTCACTATAAGAAAATATAGAAGTTGAAATTCAGACAATCCTGTCGTGTCAGTGCAGTGGAGTTTGAACATTATGAACCCGACCTTGGATTAGGAAGTCATTTGAGAGAAGTCCCCCTTTAACGTTATGTATACGTATCACACAATACCTTCAGCCAGCGCAGCTGGTATTAGGGCTGATAAACTTCAAAAACTTAACAGTTATACGAAAATACAACAGGACATATCAACAACCACCCACGGAAAGCTGTATCACAAAGACAGGTTGCCGTATCGTACCAAAATAACATGACATTGTTGTGAAACACTTTGTTAACCAGTGAACATTTGTGCTGAAGTTGTGAAAACGTGTGTCTAAATTCACGTGTGCTCTAAGTAGTTGTTGGTCTGTTTTATCACCGCACTCAGCAATATTCCAGCTACATGGCGGCGGTTTGTAAATAATCGAGTCTGGACCAGACAAACCACTGATCAACACCATGAGCATCGATCTGTCCAATTGGGATATGATGACATGTGTCAACCAAGTCAGCGAGCCTGACCATTCGATTCCGTTAGCCTCCTCTTACGACATGCATGGGCTGCTGAAGATCAATTCGAACCCGGATCTTCACGGGTTGTGCTCTAAGTAAAGCTCGAGTGTGGCGTTATGGTAGTGGTCGTTTTTGGCGGTTAATTTATTTTGTGTGTGTTAAATTGATAAAATACTCGTGTAACCTTTCGTCAACTTAATATTAACATAAACGGGGCAGTAAAATAAATGGATAACCTTCATAAATCTCTTGGAAAATAAGAACCATTCAGTGTTTGAGGAATTGGTGTTGTAAACTAGTTGCAAGGAGTGAAACTTATTCATGAAATTGTACAGTTCTGTTTCTCTCATAGGGTGCAATAGATTATGAAAAAGTAACCAAAGATATCCACCGTTTGAAACGACAATCAATTCTTAAGCGTAGAAAAGGTTTGACCAAGGTGGTTTCAGAGAGTGAGTGAGTGAGTGAGTTGAGTTTTACTCCGCGCTCAGCAATATTCCAGCTATAGGGCAGCGGTCTGTAAATAATCGAGTCTGGACCAGACAATCCAGTGATCAACAGCATGAGCATAGATCTACGCAACTGGGAACCGATGACATATGTCAACCAAGTCAGCGAGCCTGACCACCCGATCCCGTTAGTCGCCTCGTACGACAAGCATGGGTTACTGAAGGTACATTCTAACCCGGAACTTCACGTGTAGGTTTCAGAGAGGGCAGCGATAGCATACACAGCAGCAGCACAAAATGTAGCTGTGTATAGAATATAGAAGATACACCAGTTCAGATTGGTACAAACACACAGTTAGTCGTATCAGGCTTCGGATACATGATACAAAGTGTATCACATCCTCCAATATTAATACATCGAACACTGAGCATGCGCAGTTCATTTCACACCGCAATATGGCCCGAGTTATAAAAATACTTTCAATTATCAAGGGAGTCTTGGTCATTGACAAACATATGTAAAAAAATACCAGAATACAAACAACAAAACTGATATTGAATACATGTACACATTCTTGATAGTATCGACATATTTAAAAATTGTTGAATTGACGTAAACGAGGTCACAAACGTAAGTCAGTTCACAATCACGAGAACGTACGGGAGCTTTGAAATCTGATATACCAAACTGCCGGGAAAAATAAATTCTACATTTGAATAGTAGAATTAACAGTAAAATAACAAACGTCATTAGATCGTTCCAAGGATGAGTACAGATACCGAGACACAGTCTTCAGGTCCAAATCACGACTCTGCACTATCGAATTCCCATTGTTTGTTTTTGTCACTATCGAACGTATTTTGCCCGGCAGGTTTTTTACAATTTTGTACAATGTTGCTTATCAAATGTGAAAAACTGACAAAATCGGTTTGCAGGGTTTGGAGACACGTATACCGTTTCCTGGTACAAAATACAGTATAAAAACAACATATTTACACACATGAGGGTATCATATGTACATTGTGTGGACCTCATGGAGGATAATGTCGCTATTTCCTCTGATTCTATGTGTTGGAATTTATAGAAATGGGAGTATAAATCTCTACAATATCGAAGTGTGAGTTCCATATGTGATATAAACATTCTTATTCAGAGAATGTATGTTTGTTCCCTAGTATTGTTAAATATATGACAAAGCTAACCATTCTATTTAATGTCCCTTTCAGATTAACTGTTTGGGTAAATAATAAAGCGATACCCATAATTACGTTTTTCACCTTTTCTGGTACATTGGGCTCTGCATTGGCTTGCTTTTGAGGTTGCTTTGAATATTATTTCGATGAAACCATGACATGTCTGTTTCGCAAAGGAAGGAAAGTTCGAAATGTCTTCCTTATACAACACGGCCACCTGTGACGCCAAACAGGATGAAGATGCGTTGTCAAAATGACTGTTTTAAACGATTTCAGTTTTATAATAAACTTAAAAGCTATCTTTGCGAATAGTTGAAGGGTTGCTTTCGAGGCACTGAATAATATTCACTCACTTCCTCACTCTACAGCTAATACTGGATACTGTCACACCTAAGCTGGACAACTCTGCACAACCCTATGGAATAATTGTGCCAGTGGTTCTACGCTATTTGATCACGATACCTAGTGTTGCAATGACTTTAGATATGATTAAGTTAAATTTCGAAAATGAGTAAACAGGAATGAAATATCTTCGAAAATCACAAGCACAGTTCATTTTTTTGTTTTAAGTTTAAATCTTGGGAGGAATGTGCGTTAACTAAAATAGACTTCACCGACTTTACGACTATTCATTCATGTTGACGCTAGAGGTGTAGCTATACGGCCTGCCGCATGTGCAGAGATAAACATGAGATACACAGTGATAAAGTTACATGGATATCACACTGTATGTACAGTCACGTTTGATTAATTCTCACTGTGATGTTCATGTAGATAACGCTTTGTTGGGATGTTGTCACCTTGTCATCGCCTTGTCACCATTTTATGTTGTCATGGCAACCATAATACATATGCCACACACAAATCACAATGTAGTTCAATGTTTCAGAAACATCTGTTATGAACAGTCACCCTGAGGTGTCATATGAGTCAACGTTCTGGTTGACATATTGTTTGGTTAGTACGTCACATACGTTCACTCTGACGAACTACGTACGTCAAGGGCTTCTTCTTCTTTCACGTACGGAATTGGTTACATGACACTATGCTAAGTTTGTCAGCATCCCTCTATGGGGTGTACAGGTTTGTCGACCTTTGAGAAGGTCGTCATGACGTCATGGCCAATCAGAACGTCTCTTATGGAACAGCAATGGAAGCCGGCGACACTTGATCACAATCTTGACGCGTGCGCAATGAATGCCACTGCGCAACCGGACATCTCTGTGACTGAAGCATCCGGTTCCAGTGTGTGAATTCGTGAGGTCCAGAGCCATATTTGCCGATGACCACTCGACCAACGAACTCGTCCCTGCTCTTGGAGTTGTGGTCCCACGCAGAGACGACCAGGCTTGTGTTGTCCAGTTGCTGAGGGGTCAGGTTAAAACTGACCGACTCGTTGAAGACTGGGTCCAACGTGTTCTTCTTGCACGACGTCTTCTTGGTTTTGATTGGCTTCTCGAAGTGAACTAATGTAATCTTTACGAAGGGATCTGAAACAAACAGAAAACACAGTAATATATAAGGACACAAAAAGTATACTTAGATACATAAAATGTTCATGTTTAGAGAACATTTAAAATTACGAGGAAAGTAACATATGCTATATTTGGGATTGCACTTTCTTAGTAAAGTACAGATTCTAGTAGTTTTGTTGGGTTGAGTCCCATCCGGGATTCGAACCCACGCCCTCAGAGTCGGGCACCTAATCGCCAGCACTCAAAATCAGCCGCCTAGCCCGCTCAGCCACCGCTGCTTCCACGAAGAAAGTATACACAGAAAGTAGAAATGTTTAATGGTGGATAAAATGGAACAAACAAGGAATTGTTATTCAAAGTATTTGATACAGGTATGACACGTATTATCACTGTATCATTCAGTATCTGACAAAGAGTGACGACCAGGTGGCGTTCTAGCGTGCATGGGAGTCCCAATTGTCACATCACTCAACAACGAACAGAGTGAAGCGGGTATTTTCCCGTGTATACTTTCTTTTGTCCGTCAGTATATATGTGATGCAGGAGCTCAAACTTCTCTTGGGGTGTATTCCGTCTATATTGTGTTTCCATATGTTACTACTGCAGTGGATGTTAATATGGTTATGTTATAACATACAACAGCCATCGTTATGCATTGGTATAACCATTTGTTCTCTGAACTCCAGAAAACGATATCAATATCTGTGCCCACTAAATATCATAGCGGTTCATCAAGCAGTACCTTTACAACTGAATCCACTTCCAGCAGGTATTTCTTTACGATAATTTCGTATTTGAAAATCATATTCCGGGAAAAACTAAACGGTCGATGTGGGAAAGGTTTAACAAAGAAACCTTATTGTCTTTATACTGAAGGTCTTTAAACATAGGCGCAAAACATGGGAAAAGCCACAGTGAGTGGCTGAGTTTAGTTTTACGCCGCACTCAGCAATATTCCAGCTATATGGCGTCGGTTTGTAAATAATCGAGTCTGGACCAAACAATCCAGTAATCAACAACATGAGCATCGATCTGCGCAATTGGGAGCCGATGACATGTGTCAACCACGTCAGCAAGCCTGACCAGCCAATCCCGTTAGTCGCCTCTTACGACAAGCATGGGTTACTGAAGGTACATTCTAACTCGGACCTTCACGGGTGGGAAAAGCCACAGAAAAATAATTAGAATAGTGAGTGAGTATGCTTTTACGCCGCTTTTAGCAATATTCTAGCAATATCACGGCGGGGGATACCAGGAATGGGCTTCACATTCACGTTTTGCGCCTTCGAACTGGGTCTTCGGCACGACGAGCGAACGCTTTTTAATTCCAGAAATACCGTTAGAGCAACAGCGGAATCCGCAAAACAATTTCCTTACAAAAGAAAACCCACCGGAAGACCTAGAACAGGATTTCAGTGGAAAACAGTTGGGGTGGCCTTTAGTAAAAAAACCATCGGGGTAACCTTTTAAAATATGAAATCGATTTTCTCGTTAACTAAACCATTGGTTACCGTGTAACGAGGTCACGAGAAATCTCTTGTAGAAATTTTAAGGATTCTAATGTGTGCTTGCCAAATACAGTTTCCTTTCAAGAGCTATATTTGCCGTCTAGACTGTCTGATTTTATTATCTTCCTGAGATGTGAGATGACCATACCTTGAAGTGAGCGCGTGATATAATGTTGTTTTACGCCACAGCCAACAGTACCTCCGGCCTATCGGCGCCATTTTATACCCAGGGAACATATACGTATACCCAGAGAACACATCGTAAATACCCGACCTTACTGAAGGGCCACGGGCAAGGGATGCACGGGACTAAAATTGATACGGAGGAAGAGTTTTTTTATGGATGCCAACTTTATTATTATGATGATTTTTCACCTGATGAAGGAGTAAGGATACACTCCGAAACGTACCCGATGAAGGAGTAAGGATACACTCTGAAACGTTGCGTTCCTCTTCCAATGAAGGAGTAAGGATACACTCCGAAACGTTGTGTTCATCACCTGATGAAGGAGTAAGGATACACTCCGTAACGTTGCGTTCCTCTTCTGATGAAGGAGTAAGGATACACTCCGAAACGTTGTGTTAATCACCTGATGAAGGAGTAAGGATACACTCCGAAACGTTGTGTTCATCACCTGATGAAGGAGTAAGGATACACGTTGTGTTCATCACCTGAAAGTTGTGTTCGAAACGCCTGATGAAGGAGTAAGGATACACTCCGAAACGTTGTGTTCATCACCTGATGAAGGAGTAAGGATACACTCCGAAACGTTGTGTTCCTCGCCTGATGAAGGAGTAAGGATACACTCCGAAACGTTGTGTTCATCACCTGATGAAGGAGTAAGGATACACTCCGAAACGTTGTGTTCCTCGCCTGATGAAGGAGTAAGGATACACTCCGAAACGTTGTGTTCATCACCTGATGAAGGAGTAAGGATACACTCCGAAACGTTGTGTTCCTCGCCTGATGAAGGAGTAAGGATACACTCCGAAACGTTGTGTTCATCACCTGATGAAGGAGTAAAGATACACTCGAAACGTTGTGTTCCTCGCCTGATGAAGGAGTAAGGATACACTCCGAAACGTTGTGTTCATCACCTGATGAAGGAGTAAGGATACACTCCGAAACGTTGTGTTCCTCACCTGATGAAGGAGTAAGGATACACTCCGAAACGTTGTGTTCATCACCTGTTGAAGGAGTAAGGATACTCTCCGAAACGTTGCGTTCCTCTTCTGATGAAAGTTTAAGGATACACTCCGAAACGTTCCGTTCCTCTTCTGATGAAGGAGTAAGGATACAATCCGAAACGTTGTGTTCCTCAACTGATGAAGGAGTAGGGATACACTCCGAAACGTTGCGTTCCTCTTCTGATGAAGGAGTAAGGATACAATCCGAAACGTTGTGTTCCTCAACTGATGAAGGAGTAAGGATACACTCCGAAACGTTGCGTTCCTCTTCTGATGAAGGAGTAAGGATGCACTCCAAAACGTTGTGTTCATCACCTGATGAAGGAGTAAGGATACACTCCGAAACGCTGTGTTCATCACCTGTTGAAGGAGTAAGGATACACTCCGAAACGTTGCGTTCCTCTTCTGATGAAGGAGTAAGGATGCACTCCAAAACGTTGTGTTCATCACCTGATGAAGGAGTAAGGATACACTCCGAAACGCTGTGTTCATCACCTGTTGAAGGAGTAAGGATACACTCCGAAACGTTGTGTTCATCACCTGATGAAGGAGTAAGGATACACTCCGAAACGTTGCGTTCCTCTTCTGATGAAGGAGTAAGGATACACTCCGAAACGTTGCGTTCCTCTTCTGATGAAGGAGTAAGGATACACTCCGAAACGTTGTGTTCCTCTTCTGATGAAGGAGTAAGGATACAATCCGAAACGTTGTGTTCCTCAACTGATGAAGGAGTAAGGATACACTCCGAAACGTTGCGTTCCTCTTCTGATGAAGGAGTAAGGATACAATCCGAAACGTTGTGTTCCTCAACTGATGAAGGAGTAGGGATACACTCCGAAACGTTGCGTTCCTCTTCTGATGAAGGAGTAAGGATACAATCCGAAATGTTGTGTTCCTCACCTGATGAAGGAGTAAGGATACACTCCGAAACGTTGTTTTCCTCACCTGATGAAGGAGTAAGGATACACTCCGAAACGTTGCGTTCCTCAACTGATGAAGGAGCAAGGATACACTCTGAAACGTTGTGTTCCTCGCCCTGATGAAGGAGTAAGGATACACTCCAAAACGTTGTGTTCATCACCTGATGAAGGAGTAAGGATACACTCTGAAACGTTAGGTTCCTCTTCTGATGAAGGAGTAAGGATACACTCCAAAACGTTGTGTTCATCACCTGATGAAGGAGTAAGGATACACTCCGAAACGTTGTGTTCATCACCTGATGAAGGAGTAAGGATACACTCCGAAACGTTGCGTTCCTCTTCTGATGAAGGAGTAAGGATGCACTCCAAAACGTTGTGTTCATCACCTGATGAAGGAGTAAGGATACACTCCGAAACGTTGTGTTCATCACCTGTTGAAGGAGTAAGGATACACTCCGAAACGTTGTGTTCATCACCTGATGAAGGAGTAAGGATACACTCCGAAACGTTGCGTTCCTCTTCTGATGAAGGAGTAAGGATACACTCCGAAACGTTGCGTTCCTCTTCTGATGAAGGAGTAAGGATACACTCCGAAACGTTGTGTTCCTCTTCTGATGAAGGAGTAAGGATACAATCCGAAACGTTGTGTTCCTCAACTGATGAAGGAGTAGGGATACACTCCGAAACGTTGCGTTCCTCTTCTGATGAAGGAGTAAGGATACAATCCGAAACGTTGTGTTCCTCAACTGATGAAGGAGTAAGGATACACTCCGAAACGTTGCGTTCCTCTTCTGATGAAGGAGTAAGGATACAATCCGAAACGTTGTGTTCCTCACCTGATGAAGGAGTAAGGATACACCCCGAAACGTTGTTTTCCTCACCTGATGAAGGAGTAAGGATACACTCCGAAACGTTAGGTTCCTCAACTGATGAAGGAGCAAGGATACACTCTGAAACGTTGTGTTCCTCGCCTGATGAAGGAGTAAGGATACACTCCAAAACGTTGTGTTCATCACCTGATGAAGGAGTAAGGATACACTCTGAAACGTTAGGTTCCTCTTCTGATGAAGGAGTAAGGATGCACTCCAAAACGTTGTGTTCATCACCTGATGAAGGAGTAAGGATACGCTCTGAAACGTTAGGTTCCTCTTCTGATGAAGGAGTAAGGATACACTCCGAAACGTTGTGTTCATCACCTGATGAAGGAGTAAGGATACACTCCGAAACGCTGTGTTCATCACCTGATGAAGGAGTAAGGATACACTCCGAAACGTTGTGTTCCTCGCCTGATGAAGGAGTAAGGATACACTCCGAAACGTTGTGTTCATCACCTGATGAAGGAGTAAGGATACACTCCGAAACGTTGCGTTCCTCTTCTGATGAAGGAGTAAGGATACAC